TGTCCCAGATTGAGGTGCCATTAGAGGTGGTTTGGGAACAAATTGATAGGCTGGTAAGACTGACTTCAAGTACCGGGAAAACTGGTTCAAACTATAGAACTAAGAACAAAATTTTTAGACATATAGATGAACATAATTCGTTGGCGAATAGTCAACACCGTTTTTGTAAAGGGAAATCATGCTTCACCAATCTAGTAGAATTATTTCAGGGGGTTAACAAGCATGTGGACAAGGGGGATCCAGTGGGTATAGTATGTTTAGATTTTCAGAAAGCCTTTGACAAGGTCCCTCACCAAAGGCTCTTACGCAAAGTAAGCAGTCATGGGATAAGAGGGAAGGTTCTCTTATGGATTGGTAATTGGTTAAAAGATAGGAAACAAAGAGTAGGAATAAATGGTTAGTTTTCAGAATGGAAAGAAGTAAATAGTGGTGTCCCCCAGGGGTCTGTACGGGGCCCAGTCCTATTCAAGATATTCATAAATGATCTGGAAAAATAGGTAAACAGTGAGTTGGCAAAATTTGCAGATGAAACAAAACTACTCAAGATAGGTAAGTCCCAGGCAGCCTGCGAAGAACTACAAAAGGATCTCTCAAAACTGGGTGACTGGGCAACAAAATGGCAGATACAATTCAATGTTGATAAATGCAAAGCAATGCACATTGGAAAACATAATCCCAACTATACATATAGAACAATGGGGTCTAAATTAGCTGTTACCACTCAAGAAAGAGATCTTGGAGTCATTGTGGATAATTCTCTGAAAACATTCACTCAATGTGCAGCGGCAATCAAAAAATCAAACAGAATGTTGGGAATCATTAAGAAAGGGATAGATAATAAGACAGAAAATATCATATTGCCGCTATATAAATCCATGGTTCGCCCACATCTGCATGCAGTAGTCAAGATATATTAGCCTTGGAAAAGGTTTAAAGAAGGGCAACAAAAATGATTAGGGGTATGGAACGGCTACCGTATTAGGAGAATCTAATAAGACGGGGACTTTTCAGCTTGGAAAAGAGATGACTAAGGAGGGATATGACAGAGGTCTACAAAATCATGACTGTTGTGGAGAAAGTAAATAAGGAAGCGTTATTTACTCCTTCTCATAACATAAGAACTCAGGGCCAGCAAATGAAATTAATAGGCAGCAGGTTTAAAAACAAAAACAAAAGGAAGTATTTTTTCAGACAATACACAGTCAACCCGTGGAACTCCTTGCCAGAGGATGTTGTGAATGCCAAGACTATAACGGGGTTCAAAAAAGAACTAGATAAATTCATGGAGGATAGGTCCAACAATGGCTATTACCCAGGATGGGCAGGGATGGTGTGTTTGCCAGAAGCTGGGATTGGGTGACGGGATGGATCACTTGATGATTCCTGTTCTGTTCATTCCCTCTGGGGCACCTGGCTTTAGCCACTGACGGAAAAGAGGATCCTGGGCTAGATGGAACTTTGGTCTGACCCAGTATGACTGTTCTTATATTCTTAATGGGAGGTGCTTTAATTCAGGAGAGTTATTAATGTGATTTAAAAAAAAAATCTGTATTATTTAAATCTAATTTTAAATAAAATTTAATGAGAAAATGACAATTTGCTGAGTGTAAAATGACAAAAACCAGGACTAGTGAGTTCATCCTTAAGTATCAAACATATTCATCCTGTGAAAAAAAAATAAAGAGAGTACGTTCTTTTCATATGTTTAATGGACTAAAGGTAGAGATATAATAATTATGATTTGTTTTTGATTTTTAGGAGACAAAAACTCTTTAGGGTAACAAGTCTAGCAATTTTTGTTATTTTTCTTTAAAAGAACTTGTTTCATAAAAGAAATAGTTATTTCGGACTTATATTTGACCATAACTGGGGAATCATTTAAAAAAATCTAATCATAGGATAAACCCTGAAGTTCATAACAGAAAATCTGTGATGCACAGGAGGGGTTTTAATTTACTGGTCAGCTGGCTAACGATCACTCATACGTCACAAGTGTCCTGGTAACTAGCCTGCAGAAATTTTTGAAAGGTTTGTAACTATCTATCTTAGAAGACTGCACAGTGCTTGTTGGCAGCTCTTTCTATGCTTGTAGGTGACGGTTGGAAAACTGCATACAGCTGTATATTTCTGTTCATAGTGTGGTATTCACGGACAATTGATTTCTGTCGCCAGTGCAATTGCAATTTCTGCTTTTGCTCTCTTCTGTTACATTCCATCCCTAATAATATATAAAGTCAACTCAAACTCTCTTTGAAGTCAATGGGAACTGCAGGAGTTTGGCACCTCTGAAAATCAGGCTATAGGACTCTGAATCAACTGGTATTCAAAAAAAGACCTCAATGGGGGCTGAAGTAGGCCTTTGGAAAAAGTTTCCAATTTTCTATTACAAACCCTGGGCAGGCTCATTCCTAGCATGAATACATAAACTTCAATCATTCTGACATTTCCATTCATTCAAATTAAATGTGAGGCTGATAGTTAATTCAGCCTGCCCCCTTCCCCATTCTTTCACAATGCTGCTGATTTCTTTGTCAAAATACCAGTTATCAGTTGTTTTCAAGTCCTAACTTATTTAGACTTAAAAGATCTACATAATTCATGCAGGTCTCTATTCTTCAGGCCCTAACTGGGACTAAGACAAACCTCCAAACCACTGGGGTTTGGTTGATCACTAGTTGGGAAGAGAATACAATTTAACCCGCATTTTGTTTTTCCTCCTCTCTTTTTCTGGGCCAATCTGCATTATTAAAGAGAGGAATGAGTATAACAAACATGGAGCAAATTTTGCTGCTGTACTGAATCAAGTTATTAATAGGTGGGAAATAAGATGGAGAAGTTGCTCGTCAAGAATAGAGGATAAAATGAATAGAACACACACTATGAATGAACTAAGGGTCCTGACACTTTTTGCCTCTGCTGTGCATTGTGAAGTAAAATAACAGGAAAAAGCACTGGATGGTAATGTGGAATATTTCTCCGTCCCTGTAGTCGTCTTTAGCATCTCTGTCAAATCAGGGGAGGGTCACTTCCCTCTACAGCAAGGTCTAAATTATGAATAAAGATGAAAGATTCAATAATGCTGTTTCCTTGTGGAAGAGTCATGCAGAGACCAGGTGCTGGCCTGGAACCCATCTCAATATGGCTGCTGAGCTAGCTGTGTTGCCACTGATCCTGAGATCAGAAGACCAAAGAGGTGCATAGGGAGTCCTTTCCCAAAATTGGCTTGGGGAATGTGTGTATTTCAGCTGGGCTTTTCTGCAAACCACTGACCTCCAAAGTGATTTGTTTTTGAAAAGCCTTATAACAATGAACAATTATTTGGAGATGTCATTTTAGGAGATACAAATACACACACCCTTTTGCTGGAGAAAGAAGTGCTTGAGAAGAGTCCCAAGGTCTAAGTCTAATCCTCCTTCATAAAGAAAGAATAGCTAATAGTAACAATAACATCTGTTTCACTATAATGGACTGAAATTACAATTAGATTGTCAATGTTATAAAATTATATGAAAATGATGACAATAAAATCACTATTTAGTTGGCAGGTTTATTGTTCACAAAGGCTATAAACATAAAATTTAGTAGAATTCTACTCCTTGGGGAAAAAAATCATGTTGTGAAAGTCCATAACTTTAATCTTTGTTCCAAAGTTGTTCCGAAGTTGTGGTGTTTTCTACATTGTATTTTGATCCATTTCGACTGCATTAAAGGTTTGTAAAACGAAAATATGTAGGGAAATGACAATGTGAATATAGGACAGTCAGACAGCGAACACCCTATAATGTTTTAATGCCTGAGAAATGCTTTCTTTGTTCATGAAAAGGCAGTAAAGAATGAGTGCAGTTCTTAGTCCACAAATCCCAAACACACTGATAAAGGCTTCAAGCTGAATAATCACTGCAGTTTGGTCCCTAACATACCAGTTCCTTAAATGCACACAAAAGTATTAGTTTTCGGGAAAATAAAAATATACCTTAATTTTTCAAACAAGCCTTTTTGGAAGTCTTCTCTATATTCAAACAGAATGTGATCAATGGGGCCTGAAACTCAAAGTTAAGTGGAAGTTAGTAACCAGCCTTTCTCACCTAACTGCTGACAGATGAAAGATGGTACTCTGTGCTGGCTAGCCCATAAAAAGTTAATTTTATTGCTCTCCTGGAAGGATGAATAGAAGGATGGATTACTGCTGACAGCATAATGTAGAGACAAAGAGACTCTTTAAATCTTAGAAGCCATGATCAAAGTATTGAACAAATGGAATGTATAGAAGCACTACAGGTAGACAGGAAGACAAAAGTCTGATACAAAAATATTGGCAAATTATAGCCTGCCATATAAATGGCTTTGGACTGTGCACAATGCCACAAAAATAATCTTGTGTTTATTTTCTGGACATCAGTGGCTCTAAAATACATTCCTCCTTTCCCTGTAGTTTACTCTGGTATCGGACAACTTGGTAGCAGGTGTAGAAGAGAAACGTACCATTGCCTGGTCACCTACAAAAGTCTGGAATGTTCCCTCCACTCTTGGCCCTTCCCTGGAATGTGTCTCTGCAGTCGTTGCCCAAAAGAGCAGCTTCAGAAAGAGTTTTGAGGGAGCCAGAACTGGAGTGAAAATCTTCAATCACATACTCCCTTCCCTCCTCTCTGCAGGTTTTCCACTTGGTGCTGATAGCTAGGCTTTGATTTGCAAATTAAGCAAGTGTTTATAAAGTCTTTATTTGGACTAGGCAGTTTGAAGTTTAATAAGAAACATGGAGATCAGCAAAATTAAATGTGTGCCTCCTCGAAGATGCTTTTCAGAAGAAACTTCTTGTCCTACATATGCAATTGCCTTCTGTGTGCCTTCCAAAAGGGCATATTTAAGATCATTATACTTCTTTATGTAACAGTTTGTTTGAATTCACTGACCGGAGGCTGTATGAAAGGTTCAGTAATTTCAAAATCAAAGTAGGAGAGAGCATACTGTTCTGCCAGGTTTCTCTTTGAAGGAATACTTACATGCTTACATTTTTCATAGGTGGCCAAGCTTGCAGGAGTAAAACTAAGTGCTGAAACTCAGACTGACTGTTACTAGCGTGCAGGAGTTCCAGGAAGAGAGAATATCTTTTTTCTTCATTTTCAATATCAATGATCTCTACCTGCAAAAAAAATAAAGCCATATAAGAACAGGATCTAAATCAGCTAACTCCGCCATACCTATGTAACAATAAATATGATGTGTTTGATCTGTAAAGGACATCACTACTGTAAAACAAGGCAGAAACACAGCCCAAGCAATTTTCTCTTAATCTTCAGTTATATGCATTTGAAACTAGGAAGCACATAGATGATGGGAAATTACTTAGAATGAGGTTCCTAAATTAACATGAAACCCACACAAGTAGATCAATGGATTAGTTCAAGTGATCCCTCCACCTCCAATTTTTTACATCATCAGTTAAAAATTCCCTAGCCCTTTAAAAAAAAAGTTCCTCTGATATTTTCCCAACATATATTACTGTGTAAAATTACTTTATTTAAAAAATGACCCTCTCGCCCCGACACAAACACACAGAGTAAAAACTACCACTGTTCTATCTAAATTGGCATCTAATCTTCATTCGCTGAAGAAGGAAATTTGGATGCTGATTTTTAACTCACATTTGCCACACAGAACAGCTGTCGACTAGCACATATTTCTCTCCATATGTACTATAAATTAAAAAAAAAATCCTCTCCATCTCTGTACACCATACATCTTTACTCAGAAAACAAGGCTTCTTCTAGAATGTACTTAGTTTCCCCCGAGGCTTTCAATTGAGGACAGGTTCTATTAAATATAATTACTTTCTGCAGCTCTCATGGTAAAAGTGCAAGGTAAAAAGGTCTGGCTATTAAATGGAGGCTGCTATTAAATGAGAAGAAGATGCTTTTTAAAAGTTTGGCTATCACACAAACAGGACTTCTCAAATGATGTATCTAATTACTGTCAACCTGTTAAATTTTTGCCAGTTTAAAAAATAATTTGTTCCCTAGCACTGAGATAGCTTTAATATATAAATACAAATTCTTCCTCTCTAACATTAGAACATTTTTGTATTGAAAAATATTTTCCCCAAAACCTGGAAAAGTTCTAAATCATCAAATATTACCCTCAGCTCAGTTACGATACACAACATTAAAAGTTATATTTTTTCAATGCAAAAGTGGTTCTAAAACATCAATTGGACCAAAAAGATTTTCTCATTTCTACAGCAACTTTAAAAGACTAAAATTCACGTTCCCATAGTTTGAGTGACTCAAACAAGGGCAATATTTTCAAAAGAGGTTGGAAAATACAGATTGCCTATTAATTTGTTGAAATGCCTACACAAATTTGTGGCTTTAATATATTCAATGTTGACAGTTTGCTTCCAGCCCCAGGGTGCATCTGAAAATGTCTCATAAATAAAAATAATATCTGAAGAAGTATTATTTCAAAATAGTGGATATTTAAAATATTTAGTACAGGTAATCGGCCATATTAAATAATATAAACATGCCTACTATCTGCCTAGAAATGTTAGTCTAAGATTTCAAGTTCACTACTTATATGGTACCATAATATGAATGTCACCGCCATTTATTAGAGAAACAGGTGGGTTTTCAAGAAAAGAAATAGAGATAGGGAAATTTTTCACCCAAAACTTTTTTTTTGTTGCCTGAAAAAGTAGATTTTGGTTGAGAAACATTTTGACATTTTGCAAATTTATGTCGATTTCGGCAAATTGTTTTGGTTGAAATGATAAATAGAAAAATATTTAGGAAACATCAAAATGGTTCATTTTGATAATGTCAACACAAAAGTTTTCAACATTTTTGGCCAGATTTGCAAGGGGATTTGGGTGCCAGTGAAGCGGTGGTGCCCCTCACTTACATTGAATAGCCCAGTGTTTAGGGCACCCACCCTGGATGTGGGAGACCCAGGTTCAAATTCCCCGTCTGGAGCAGGGATTTGACCCTGACTCCTGCTGCATGCCCTAACCACTAGTCTATAGAGTCACATATTCTGTCCCTTTGGCCCAATAACTAGTCAAGTATTTAATATAAAGTGGAATAGCTTCAACTGGAGAAACAGAGAGCCTCACCCCCCCAATAAAACCAATAACCCCAGGATTAGGGCATTTACCTGGGGGTTCTCTAATCCAGAGTGGGGATTTAAATTAAATTTAAATTAATGGAGATATCCTATCTCCTACAACTGGAAGGGACCTTGAAAGGTCATCGAGTCCAGCCCCCTGCCTTCACTAGCAGGACCAAATACCCATTTTGCCCCAGATTCCTAAGTGGCCCCCTCAAGGATTGAACTAACAACTCTGGGTTTAGCAGGCCAATGCTCAAACTACTGAGCTATCCCTCCCCCGCCCACAGAGTCTCCAACATCCCAGGTAAGCGCCCTAAGCACTGGGCTATTGGGTATCAGGAAGCAGAGCAGAGTAGTACAAACTCCATTATTTTGTGACTCTAGCCCTTTATTTCCTTTATTTTTACTAAAACAGAAGGTTAACAGTGGCCGAAATCAAAACAAAACATTTCATTTTGGGTTGAACAGTTGGAATGAAATGAATTTTTTCAGATTTGTTCGATGCACCAAAAAAATTGTAGTTTTGGTTTGACCCGAGATGATTTTTTTAAAACTGTCAGTAAACAACAACAAAATCAGTTATTCACACAGCTCTCAGAGGAAATGAAAGGATATATTTGTAGATGTCTGAGGAGCCAGAAGAGAGTGATTAACGGTAAAAGCAATGAACAACATGGTAGAGGAATGGTGAAAGAAAGGTGGCGTAGTGTGAAGGTAAGAGGCAGAGGAAAGGCATGCTTACCTCTGTTGAATTACTAGTTTTGTCAAGACTCACTGAATAAAAAAATATTTTTTCCAAATCAAAGACCCCCTCTCCCCCCGCACACAATTTTGACTTCTTCAATCTATCATATGCTTCTTCCTCTTCCAATCATCTCCTATTGCTAGTGCATTGTTACAGGATGGTAGTTTGAAATAAAGCTCAATCCTAAGTATAATGAAAAAGCAAAATTGCATTACGATGGCTGTAATCACCACTATGGCTACTTTCACCTTCCTTGCTTTTTTTATTTGAAGTAAGGTCTTCAAAGGTGGGATGAGATCTTGACATGAACTTTTCTCCTGTACACAAGATTCAATGGCAGAACCTAGACATGTCACTAGACATCACATTGCATTGATTATGCTCAGTTCATGTTTTTAAGCTTTTCTGTGCAACAGTAAGGGCTAAAAAATTCACTTAAAAAAAAAAGCTGATGGTCTCATGTAATCACATGACTCTAGAGGTTTAGGGCCTATAGTGCTTATGCCATAATCCACCCAGGATGGCCACATATATATGCCATGTTATGCACATTTCTTAAAAGTATTCCTGGATGACTACAATATTAAAAATGCATTAAGCCTCAATCCTGCAAAGATTTAGGTACATGCTTCACATTACACTCTATGAGAAGTCCCACTGATTTTAGTGAGACTATTCAGAGTGTAAATTTTCACATTCTGTGGAGCACCTGACAGTTTAATGTGTGTATAACTTTTGTGGCATCAAGTCATGAAAAATCTGCAGATAATATAGCCCACTGTATTGTAAGAAGATAAATCTTTCCTAGCAGCAGAAAAAAGAAAAAGCCTACAAAAGAAGTGGGCATTGTAATAAATAAATAAATAAATAAATAAATAAATAAAGACAGGTGTGGAAAGACTGATTTTTTAAAATGTTTTCCTGACACTACACAGCACAAAAATAAATGGTAAAACATACCTACTAAGGGAAGAAGTTACTACACATAAATACTAATACACACAAAAAAGGATACATAAAGACAAATAAGTTGAAGGTAAAACCTTGAGATCCCTTCTCAGTTACACAGTGACAAGTTTTTCTGCCACACTCTTTAAAACTCCTTGCTCAAGAGGCTTCTGAAACCACAACCACCTCCAAACTAAACCAAACCACAATCTATTCACAGTGACATCTAATATTACAAGATAAGAAAAAGGTAGTGTGCCAAGGTATCAAATGATAGTGTACCCACAGCATTTCTGAGTGCAGTCTACCATAGAGATAAGTGTCCTTCTCTCAATGCCACAAAATAATGCAGCAAACTTAAGCTGTAGTTGTAATAACAGACAAACATTTCCATGAACATTTGTTTCATGGCAGATGCTTTATTATCCTCAGAAGTGATATTTTAGTTTTTGATAAACATGAGAGATCCAGCTCGGATGGCTAACTTCCTCATTAACATGATCATTTTTTTAAGCAACAAAAAAACAATTTTGTGTTCAAGTTTTTCTCCTACCTATACAAATATTAAACACAATGGGTGCAAGTTGGCTTGTGAAAGGAATTAAAAAGTGGTATTCATGAAAATTTATGGGATGATCAATAGGAACAAACTTTTTCACTAGGAGGGTGGTGAGGCACTGGAATGGGTTACCTAGGGAGGTGGTGGAATCTCCTTCCTTAGAGGTTTTTAAGGCCCAGCTTGACAAAGCCCTGGCTGGGATGATTTAGTTGGTGTTGGACTAGAGGACCTCCTGAAGTCCCTTCTAACCCTAATCTTCTATGATTCTATGAATGAATGTGGGAGAATGGCAGAGAAGGGATTTGAACCTGGTCTCCCGCATCCCAAGTGAGTACCCTGACCGTCCAGCTATTTGTCTATTTTTTCCCTCCCCTCTGGCCCCTGGAAAAACCCTTCAGAAAGGTAGGAGTTCATCCTGATACGTAACAGGAACATTTTGCAATCTCAAAAAGTTTGGCCAGATCAGAAAACTGATTCCCACCCAGCTCTACTCTAATGTATTTTACACTTTATTTTGCAGAACATTTACCCAGTTGCTAAATGGTAAGTATGTGAGTAAATTCCATTGCTTTCAAGGGACTACACCCATACTTAAAATTAAAAGCATGTGTAAGTGTTTGAAAATTACTGGTGATCTTCAAAAAATAACTTGATCATCACATCTAGACAAGAACACACCTAGACATATACAAAAGTATGTGCAATGGTTGATCAACTTGCAATAAACACTACATACCAGGTGCTTGAATCAAGGTGGCTTGAGGAAACAGCACAATGAAGAATA